TCTTCTATGCTCCTCATCATTTCGAATTGATTGGATGATGTCGACATTCATGGAAATCTGGAACTAGTTGATGATCACTAAAATGATTGACAGTCTCTCCATAATAGGTGAATGGGTGGATTCTGATAGTAGATTCTTTTCCTTGGAACTCCATGTGATAGATCGTCCATCTCTCAGTGTTCCTGCTTTGTTCATTCGAATAATGGTTGATTTTTGTTGCTGGAATTTGAGTTTGGCACGACTTAACTCTTAAGCTTGATGCAGTATACTTAGCATACTCCATTTAGATCTTATTTGTAGTCGATGGAACCTTATACTTGGCTTGGATAACTTCTTGCAGGTCATAAGGATAAGTAGGACACTCGGTGCAAAAAACCCAATGCAAGAAAAGGTGACCATGATAAGCGCATTACTAGTGAAATGCCTGAAGGCACAACTTGTTAAGAGAATTGTGGCCCCAATTTTGCTTTTTCAGAATAATTCCATCTTGATCGAATTTTGATTTAGACTGATCATTCCTCCATTAGGGCAATATGAAGAAAGCACATTTACGTGTGGAGTTCTGAAGAGACTCTACTTGCTACTATGTGTGAGAGATTGCTTAAAGAGGATCAGCCCTTTAGTCGTCATTTCTCCCGCCTCGCAGCTTGTGCTAAAATATTTTGGCTAGGCATTGATTGCTCGGCCTATGAGATAGTTGGTTGTATCTAGCAATATCATCCTGTTCGATCTAGGGAATGTCTCTAATTGGTTTACTTCAACAGTTCGACGGTTTGGGCCATACTGCTATGCCATATTCTTGTCTATCTAGAGGCACTCTAGAAAACTATTTTGCTCTCATCCCAGTGTGCAATTTATGCCTGCAATTTACGACAATTGTCAATGCAAGGAGGTATTGAAAAATCGTTTTCAAGTCTTTATGAAGCCAAAACTTGGCATAAACTTCAAGGTGTGACAAAACTCATCCATTTATGCTTGTTTTTGCTTCAAAGAAATGTTGATCATGTATGATCCCGCTAACTACTGATTGACTTCCAAAGCTTTCTTATAAGCCAATCCTCGTGTTATGGTTGATCGTAGAGTCATCCATCTTGTCATGATCATCCTAGAGCACGAAATGACTTCCAGCTCAGCCCGACCAATAATCAGAAAAATCCAAAGATGCCTTAATTCAACAATGTTATTCAAGACTTTGATTTACCACCACTATGTGGTTGGGACCATGTCTAGGGTGGTATGTGATCATCACAGTTGTTGTGTTCGGGCTTTGACAGAGGATTTGTCGTTCTTTGGGATCCTTGCTCAGATTAGTACCGAGGACGTAAAGTTAGTTTTTTATGTGACTTTGATTGGCACAGTTAATTCAGGGACATAGATGTTCTGGTCGACTCTAGGTGGGGTTGAATGTTCCCAGCAAAATTTAATTTTTGCCAACCACCTCGTTTGGTTGAATTGCCATCTAATATAATTTGTACATGGGCATCATGAGATAGTAACATTGTCTGAGCTTTTGGATATTGATGACTTCCACCATGTGATTTAGAATGTGTAATGGCTGCACTGTTCCTTGCGGATGCTGATTGTGGCATTCTGATCATGATGATGCAAACCCCTTCATTCGGTTTGTACTTATGTTGTCCACTGTTAATGGCGATAGCTCCATGTTGCTGATGTAACTGGGATTGCCTATATCCCACTGAAGTTCTCACTTGCTTTGCTTTGTCTAAAATGGTCTCCAATATTAACGGATAAACTATGCTCTAGCCGGTCATTGCAATACAAGAAAAATCCTTACCAAAAGCAAATATCACATGCAATGAAGAATAATGATGATTTTCTGTGGGTGGCAGATATTGTCCCATAAGAAACTACAAGGTATCATCATGTATAACTGAAGGAATCACGAGCATAACTTGTACCTGAGTCATTCTTGTACTTGTATGGTGGGGATTTGCAAACATGTATTGGGGGTCAAGTCCTCATAAAAATATCAAATTACATCTAGAATGTTGAATTTGCCATCCGACTGAGCATGAATATTTGTCCAAGGCGCAAGTCTAGTGGGCCTAGACAATTAATACCTATCTCTTTCTTGCTTCCATCTCAAAGTATATTGAATAACATGTGAGCACCATCCGTCAAGACGTTTTACTCACATGAGGCATGGATGAAGAAGACCTCTTGTATGCAAAACATTCGTCCATGAATAGCAATTCATAGTAGTAAATAATCTTGCCCCTTAGTCTTCCATGATGCATCTCATATCTAAATTCCTGGTTTTCGTAGGTGTTTATAAAGAGTTGATCTTCATACGTGTAGGTGTTGCCCATTAGGAATCAAGTGGTACACTTTGATTCCTCTTATTTCGTATTTTAGCCCCTTTAAGCTAAACTATTTTTCAGTCATTGAATTCTTAAACTAAATATATTGGGTATCTCTCTATTCAGATCTTACATAATAATCAGATGTAATTTGTCATAAATACATCCCTCTAGTGAAATTCTTACTCACAAGGCATGTTTCACAAGGTGGTTTGCATAGGATTTGCCTTGAGGAGGCACATGGATTGACCAAACCAATGCTTTCTAAGCATTCTTTATGTTGTAGCAGTCACGGTGGCCTAAGGAAAAACTCTGGGACTCTTGGATCCATGAGATAATTTATTCAAAAATGCTGAATGATCACACAAGAAGTGATCTCCAAAGATTTGTACTAGTGTGAACGAGAATCCACTTGATGAGGCTGGATCTCACTCCAATATTCACCCAGCATAGTGGCACCCTACGCCCAAGACAGATACTTTTGTCTTAGTATGCGAAGATCATCACAAGCTTTCCAAAAAAAAGTTGATGATAGCTACCATTGAGATCATGTGTAGCTAAATTCTTAGACCTTGCTAATTTTCTTAGAGGCTTAATCTCTACTCGTGTAGATCCTTCCTATTTGAAATTGAGTGGTACACTCTAATTTGTTTCAAATGCATATCATTTAATTCATATTTGTTGTCCTTTGAAGTCCAACATCAAGCAATTGACCCTCTCGGGTTTCTTTCCAGTATCAAGTAAATGATCCTCCTAGATCTTTTTGTCTTATTGAGTTCTGATACTCTTGGATCTCTTTCTCATTCGGCAACTCCATGAAATCTTTTTTTTTTTTTTTATTTTGGATCAAGATTGGTCACATAGTCATCGTAAAAATTGAATCATCTCAAAGATACCATGTGTCATTAGTTACGACATTAATAATCGAGTTACCTCATAAACATAAAATAGTATAACGGGATAAATCAGATATCATAATAATCAATTTATTTCCAAAACATTATATAGCAATATACTCAGATTACGAGCATGCCAAATGTAAAAAACAAAGTCAAAGGATTTTCATACCATGGGGCTGCTGTGTAGGACTTTGTATGAAAGAGATCCAACTTTCCCTTTATATCCATAGATGTCTATTAAACAATAGATTTCGATCATGGCATCTTGGCGGTATTGACTCACTCGACGAGAGAGCCATACTCGACTGATTTCTTATGCGGCTTGTGAACACTTGGTCCAATACCAAAACCACCAATTTGTTACACTTTTTCGTTGTCATGATAACTAATTTGCAAGTACTCATCATTGCCATTTCCCACAAATGGTGCCAATTGTAGGGGAAAAATTCGCACCTATCAAAATAAAGAGATTCGTTTGGGATGAGTACTCGAGGTCGCCTTTAACTTGCAAAACAAACAAACTGTCATAGATTGGTAGAATACTGGCTAGAGGCACTCCGATACTTAAATCAATAATGACACGAGAAAGTGTATTCAATTTGGTTAGACAAAGTGTGCGTACCTTAGATTTTAAGCTTTACTAGTATTTATAGGGAGCTTGTCTCAATTATTTAGGACTACCATCCTCGTTAGAATATGATGTCACACCTAAAGTTCAATCATTCATTCATTAATTCATGTTTGACCCTTGTAGGGTTTCCTTTCTTATTAGTTGATTTAGGTCACATGTTAATTATGCGTCTCCATGATTTAGACAGTTTCCTTATTGGTCAGCTAGCACCGTCTCTAACTTTTCGGGTAATTGTTTCGTCGGATCTTATCCTCTGCTCGGTCAGGATAACCTAGCTATTTGCTTGGTCAGACCAATTTTAGCTCGATTGGAATAGCCTAGCTATCTGTTCGATCGGATCTTGCCCTTTGCACGGTTGGACCAACTTTAGCTCGGCCCGAATAGCCTAGTTACTTGCTCGGTCAAAGTAAAGTCATTCTAAATAACTCTTTTCAACACGTGCAACCTGCCACGTGTCCAAGTCTAATTGTCAGATGGTGATTAGAATTTATCGACCCCTTCAAATAGCATAGATAGTTTTTTCATTGTAATGTGAGGGATTTGATCTCTATTTATTATATACAGTTGTCTTGCTTGATTACCTTGCATGATTTTTGTGATCCTCCTATAATCAATGCGATCCTTAATAAATGTGATATCCTTGGAGATGTTATGACCCATATGCCAAAATATATGGTCTTTAGAGATTATATTTCTTAAGCATTACATGACTTTTTAGAAGGTGTGAGTTGTCAATATCACTATGTGCATAAGAGTCACGTCGGTGATTATTCCTAAACTGCACACCCCGATCTGATGATCATAAGCTGAGAGATCCGAACTCAACCTTGGCTAATTTTTGATATCATTAGAAACTAATAATTGTATTGAATTAAATCATTTAATTAAGTGTTTATAACACTAATTTAATAATTACATCCAATTAAATTTTATAAGAATATTGTTTCGTTTAACTAGGAAGATCAGCAATGCTATGACATTGCCCTTTTCCTCTAACCAAAATAAAACATCATAACGTGAGACATTATATTTGTCCAATAAGTGGTAACTGGTAAGACTATGTGAGAGAGAGAGAGAGAGAGAGAGAGAAGAACAAATACACGGCACACGTCAATAGATAAATGGTAACACAATCACCACCATTGATTTTCAAGGAGTCTTCTGACGAGACTGATCAAGACGATTTATAAGATAGAGAGCATTACTGGTAACTCTAGCCAGATTTGTCACCTTACGTTTGACATCAGACCTGACCTTGCCAGTGACCTCCTTGAACCCATCTAGGCAAGTGTCTTCGTTGGTCAAGGCCGCGCTCACCCACGTCTCAGCATTGCTCATTTGCCACCGGAAACTCCCACTGCGAAGGTGCTTGAGCTCAGACAAAGTCTTGCTCAGCTCATCCACAGAATCACCCATCTGTTCCACACAGTCATGAAAAGCTCCTTGTTCTCTCTTGCTTTGGCTTCGTAGATTTGCGAGGTAGTTCGAGGCCTTTCGGGCCCGAGAGAGGCTCACTTTTACAGCAGCTTGGGCTACTTCTCCTGGGGTGTTAGCAGGGCCGGAATAGGAGGAGAGGGATCTGAGGCAAATGTTAGGGTAACTTGCATGTACGCATGATGAGCGGACGAGATCTTGAGATGCATCGCCGGGTTTTTTTGCGGAGGTGGAGGAGATCAGTACTGAAAGGAAGAGAATGATAAGGGTGAAGAGGAGAGAGAAAGGGACGGACATGTTCATTTCTCACTGGCCGGTCACTAGTTTCAGTGGTGGCCTGGCCTGGATGTCTGTATGTTTTGTGATTCGAGACAGAGATAGAGATGGGGAGAGAGAGAGAGAGGAACGTTTGTTGTTAATATAGGGGTGGGTGAGTTGTATAAGAAACTGTAACACCAGCATGGTCTTGAGATTGAGATATAATAACGTTAGTGCCCCTTAGATATGAGAATGAGACAGAAGGGTTTGGTTCTTTTTCTTCAAAATAATATCAGTCTTATTCTTTCTAATTTATTATATTTTTAAAGACATCTTATCTATTTTTCTGAATTTTTATTAACACAAATTTTAATTTATATTTAAACATCACTGACACCCTCTTTCATTAAACCACCATTTTTAATAAAAAAATTTATTAAAATATCAAAATTACTCTTACATAAACCTTAAATAGTTTTTTTACATAAAATTTGAGATGATTCAAATTTATTTTTCTATATATTAAAATTTGAGTCGATTAAAATTTATTTTTTTATACATTAAAAATTGAGTTAATTAAAATTTATTTTTTACGTATTAAATTTTGAGCCTATTAAAATTTTATTTTTACGCATTAAAATTTGAGTTGATTTGAGCTCAATTCTGACTTACTAGCATTGATTAAAATTTAATTTGAGTCGATTAAAATTTATATTTTTTTACTTATTAAAATTTGAACTAATTAAAATTAATAGACATAATATTTACTTGTTAGATTAATTAAACATACGAGGTAATGAACAAGTGATAACTTGTGTGATGCATTGAGACTTGTTAAATGAGTTAGGTCGGAGTTAACTATTCGATACGAATTTATAAATGAACTAATAAATTTATGTATAATATATATTTAGTTTGTTAGTTAATTTTTGCTTATTTGATGAAAAAAAATTAACAAAATATTAATTTTTTTAAATTGAAGAAAGGTAAAAGGTTAAAAAAATATATTTTCGTTATCACCATCACATAACACACATTTGTGGGGATGTCATTGAAAATTTAAAAAATAAAAAGAGTATTTTTAAAGATATAATAAATTAGATGCAATGTGACAGTTTTTTTTATTTTTTTTTTTGTTACTTTTTTGGCATTGAAATTTGGTTATGGATGTGATGGCATTATTGGGAAGAACGGGATGACAAAAGTAAAGGGAAGTAAATGCACCGCTGCGAATTGTTGCAATTAGCAGCAGTAGTGGCAGGTGGGTACTTGCCTATCATTATTATCATAACTACTACACCTAAATTTACTGGCCTTTTTCTGTTAATTATTGTGCTGTAATTTAGTGCCACAGTTAATGTGTGAATTTCTTTTATATTCATTTGTCAAGTATAATCGTGTGGTTGAGGAAGGTGGTCGAGTAGGGTACTCATATAAATTTTTATTTTAAGGTTGGAGATTTGAATTTAGAAATTCATATTAAAAATAGGTGATTGATTGTTATATAAATTTAATTAGATTCGTTCCTGAGAAAAAAGTAACAAGCGAATTTAGGTGCCTTGTAATCTTATTAGTGAGAGTCTCTAAACACTTTTTTTTTTAATTATCAAAAAAACAAATTATAATCATGTGAAATTAATAAAAATGAGACCCCTAAAATACAACAAAAGAAATAATGAAAGTTGCAAGACTTTTTTATTTATTTATATATATATAATTAATGAGGTTTAAATAGCATAACTACTATCAAGTAGGAAGAACAACCATATAGGTATGAATGGGGTGACATGATTAGTTTGGCTTGTTAAGAGTCTAGTTTTATTTTTTAAATGAGTTTAAAAAATTGTTTAAATTCGATTTGTTTAAAACCTGAGTTGAGTCCAAGCCCAGAGCAAACACAAGTCAAGTCTGAGTAATTTGACTATTTTACTTATAAACGAGCTGAAGTTTGCGAGCTTGATCTGAGGCTCTTAAATTTGTTTTTTCAAACGAGTTTAAAATATTGTTCAAGTTCAATTCATTTAGAATAAGAGTCGAGTTCAAGCCAAATTTTATTCGAATCAATCCCAAATAGTTCACTTCGATTAACACCCTAGATATGATAAAACACTATATCCCGGTTGTAAGATAGAGGAAGAGAGAGAGAGAATGGGCCCAAGCCCACCAGAAGTCCACATTCCTGCAAAGAGATATTAATAGAGCACATCTAAACGACTCCCTAATGAATATATACAGGTGTAGTTAGGGGTGTCAATCGTGTCGGGTTAAACGGTTATGTGTCGGGTTAAACGGGTGACGAGTGAAAAACATATAAACTCATACACGACACGTTTAATAAACATGTAAAAAATCTCAACACGAACACGATCCGTTTAATAAATGGGTAACACTACGACTCATTTAACCCGTTTAATTTTAAAAAAATTATATCAACAAATTTTAACACTCTAATTTTTTTTTACTACTAATTACACTTACCTCAAAAAAGAGGAATTTTAAATTAAATCTCATAAAAATAAGATTTGAAGGCTTTAAAAAAAAAAAGTAAGAGGCTATTGCCTTTTATAGGCAACTCACCTTCCCCATCTCCCCTCATTTTTCAATGTGGGACAAAAACAAAAGACATTAGTTTGCTTTTGTTTTTCAAGTGCTCTACAACTCCTCTCATTTGTCTTTGAAAAATAAGACTTGAAGACTTTAAAAATAAAAAAAAGAGGTCATTGTTTTTTATAGGCAACTCAACCCTCCCCATCTCCCCTCATTTTTCAATGTGGGACAAAAACAAAAGATATTTATTTGTCTTTGCTTTTGAAGTGCTTTCCAACTCTTTTCATTTATTTTTGAACTACTATTTTAAATTTTTTTTTTATTGATTTTTTTTTTGTTAATTTTTTAAAATAATTATTAATTTATTATTATATTAATTTTATTTAAACGGGTAAACGTGTGTGATAAACCATTTGACAGGTTTTACCTGAATACGACCCGTTTATTAAACGTGTTTGGCGTGTTAACCCGTTTATCTCCCAAACTCATTAACATCTCACCAAAATACGTTTAATTTGTGTCAATTCGTATCAATTAATCGTATCGTATCGAATTTTAGTAGTCCTAGCCGTATTGTACCACCTCCCCTCTCCACATTTTTGACGGTTTTTATGTAAATCTCGGGAACTGTCAACAGCTAGCTGTGACTTGTGAGTGTACTATAAATGTACACTTTTACGGGTATATAAAAGTTTGGGTGGTTGTAGCCTTTACATATAACACTTTATTATTAATTGAAATATACACGTAACAAGATATGTAGGTGCATCTTTAACAGTATTTTTTACTTTAGACAACATTTTTAATAAAAAAATTGCAGTATAGAGCGAATTTTTACAAATTATTCTAATATGATTATCTATTCTTATTATTTTTTTATTTTATATTTTTTCCTTTTGGGCAATAAATTTAAGTTTCCTCTTATTTTTCATCTATTATTTTAAATGAGATACATTTATGCTAAGGGTGCCACCCCAAAAATTTCATTCTCACTCGTTTAATTTCTCAACATCAAACTATTAAGTTTACAATTTTTATACCCACCTTATTAATAACTAAGTCTAACACATATTACATACACTCTATTAATAGTTAAATTCACTCATTCTATCTACATCTCTTTAATGAAAAAAATCATCGTAAAAGAAGACAATTAGTTTGAATGTATAAATATATTTACGAAATAAGAAAAAAAAATCAAGCAAAACTGAAACAAGAAAAAAAGACAACCAAAAATGAAACAAATAAAAAAAGCAAGCATGCCAAAACAAGAACAAAGAAAAAAACAAAACAAGAAAAAAAAATAGAAAGAAAGAAGCAAACCAAAATAAGAAGGAAAAAAAATTAAGAAAAGATTAAAGAAACAAGAAAAATTATAAGACACAAAAACGAATATGAAAAAAAAAATATCAAGCACAAAAACAAAATCGAACAAGAAAAAAATAACTAGTAGAATGCAGAACGCATACATATATATACATATATAAATTCTACATAAAAAATTATTAAATATGATTGAGATATCAAAACATACCAAAAATAATAAAAATCCATATAACAAACATAAAATTAAATTGAGAAGTAATACTAACATGTATCTCATTAGCAAAATTCATATTGAAAAGTGTTTTTGTGAGTGTATAAGATGAGATAGATAATGAAACCATAATATAATAAAATATAAAATAAGTTTACTTATTAAAGGAGTGTATATAGCATATGGTGTGCTTATGCAACGTCTCGATTTTTTTTCCATCTTTTCGGAAACGTTAATTGATATAAAAACACAGAAATAAAAATAATAGAGCACTAGTTGTCCTAATAAAATTGTATTTATCAAAATTATCTCCCAATACAAATAAATCTATCAATATAAATAAATCTCTTAATAGGATTAAAACATCAATTCCATCGACATCTCCTCGTCTTTAATATTCTGATTATCTTGTTCTGATCTTTTCTCTAAAATCAACCTGAAAATATTAAATAAAGCGGGGAAGTATACAATATGACGAGAAAAAATATGCTAAAGGACATTGAATAACAAATAATCGAGTATCATAAAGTATCTCAATCAACAGATACAAATAACATATTTGCATATCAAACGTCATGCAGAATCTTAAAATCGATGTGACACCTCACCAATCATCTCTCCTCAACCCGATTCCACGGGTGTCTTGGTTGGCGATGCACCGGCTATTGACTGTCACGATCCTGTCTCAATATCCGCAGAACACGATGAGATTAAAATATTCAACGATATTCAATCAAAATTTCAAAATAATGATAGCACAAGTTGGAATACAAATCAAAGGGTAATCAAAGAAATACTCTTTGCAAAGAGATTTAAAGAGAGCATATTGTATACCATCCTGTACCTCAGAATCATTATTTGAATTCGATAACTCTGATTTCTGTTTCATTCTTCTTATTTTTGGGTAGCCCTCTACTTCCCATTTTCCTCTTCTTTGTTTCTGTCAGACAACTCCCTGTCT